AATACCCTGTTCCTTGTCAGACTTTTTGATTTATTCGTTTATTTAGTCATGTCAGGATAGACTCATAGCGTCAAGGGATTGTAATCTATTACAGTCATTGTTAATTTTGATGTTCCAGTTGTTTCCAGTTTGACCTGTGGGAGCTCTTTCCAGCTGGCTCCTGTGTCATTTTCACCTGTCCCCATCATTCTTTTTTTGTTTGTTTGTTTTAGGAGAAGTTAACTGATGTTTTAAAAAAAAATTTTATTGGAGTATAGTTGATTTACAACGTTGTGTTAGTGTCAGGTGTGCAGCAAAGTGAATCAGTTATACCTGTACATATATCCACTCTTTTTTAGATTCTTTTCCCATATAGGCAATTATAGAGTATTGTGTAGAGTTCCCTGTGCTGTACAGTAGGTCCTTATTAGTTATGTTTTTTTATATATCCCATCATTCTTTCAACTTTTTTTCTGCTTCCTGGCACAATAAGATGTGCCAGGCTCGCCCAGTACTTTCCCTGTCCCAGTCCTGGAATTAGTCTTTACTCTGGGAAGCCCTGGGCTATTTTGCTGGAGAATGACGTTTAGAAACCAAGAGTTGGGAGTTCCATGTGGCCACTGCTATTGGCTCTTCCTGTACCCAGGCTCTCTCAGAGTGGGCAGAGGTAGGGAATGTATGTGTGTATATGTGTAGATATAGATTTACATCTATATTCCTTTTTTAAAAATTTTAACTTAAAACATACAGATGTGGGTTTATTTGCCAGTCTTTTGATGAGAAGCCTAGGCTTTTCTTTTCTTTTCTTTTTTGAAAAAATCTTTTGGCCATGCTGTGCGGCATGTGGGATCTTAGTTCCCCCACCAGGGATCGAACCTGTGGCCCCTGCATTGGAAGCGCAGAGTCTTAACCACTGGACCACCAGGGAAGTCCCCTAGGCTCCTTTTTTTTTTTAAATTTTTATTGAAACACAGTCGATACAATGTTGTATTAGTTTAATGTGTACAGCAAAGTGATTCATGTACATATATATATACATTCTTTTATAAATTCTTTTCCATTATAGGTTATTACAAGATATTGACTATAGTTCCCTGTGCTATACAGTAGGTCCTTATTGGTTATCTACTCCATATATAGTAGCGTGTATATTTTAATCCCAAACTTCTAATTTATCCCTCTTCCCCCCCACCACTTCCCCTTTGGTAACCACAGGGGTGTTGTCTCTGTGAGTCTATCTCTGTTTGGTAAATAACTTCATTTGTATCATTTTTTTACATTCCACATGTAAGTGATATCATATGATATTTGTTTTTCTCTGTCTGACTTGCTTCACTCGGTATGATAATCTCTAGGTCCATCCATGTTGCTGCCAATGGCATTATTTCATTCTTTTTCATGGCTGAGTAATATTCCATCTGTGTTTTTTTCTACATCTGTCTCTCTATAGTGAAAGTCATGAGTTTACACTGATAACTCCAGTTCCAACCCAGCACTACAGGGCTTATTCTTGTTTTCTCCCTTTACATAATTGTAGCTCATTTCTCCAGCAGTGAGAAATCTGGCTCCCAGTGCCCTTAATATATTTACTTATTTATTCGATCCCCCTGAAAGTAACCAATCTCTTATGGCTGCCACTGCCTGCACCCCTGGCCCCTGAGGTGGAGGCCCTGCTCACCACATTTGGGTCCTGACACCCTATTCTGGGTCCTGTGTGGCCCCTACTCCAACCCCTCTTCCAGACACCTACTTGCTTGTGCTCAGGATAGGAAAGGAGAGGAAGAGATTGATGTGTTTAAAATAGAATAGATTACTGTTTTGCTCTTCCAATTTCTACTTTGAAGCTCCTAGCTATTCTTTCCTTTTCTTTTCTGTTCCTTGTTAGAAATGCCAGATTCTGCATAAGTTAAGTGTTCTTTTATTGAACTGGACATAGCTTAAAAATGTTTTCAGTGTAATGCTCACCATAACAGAGGTCACAATGAAGGAAAAGGAGGAGAAAGACGATGAAGAGCAGGAGAATATAGTTGCATAAAAAGCGACAGAGAGGGAAATGACGTAATCGCATTCCTGTATTTTTTCCAAGGTTTGATCTTTGAGGTCCCTGGTTTGTGCTTGAGAAATGGATTTCAACATGAGGCAGGGCTCGTTGGGGACAAGGAAGGTGTGACAGGGGACCTGTCACAGGGGAGGCTCTGCCCGAACTGGCCTTGCTGGTTTCTCTTCTTCCCAGGTTTGTGTTTTAAATGAAGGGCTTATTTAATTTTAATTACATAAGTAATACACGAATACCTCCCCGCTGTAAAACATTCGAACAATATAGAGAGAGAGCAAAAAGCCCTTTTGAGAAACGGCAAGTCAACCAGTGACAAAGGGAGGAGTTTGGAGGGCAGTGTGGGAATATTTTTCAAAATGACAAATGCACATCACTTTTTTTTTTTTTTTTTTGCACATCACTTTTGACTTGGCAGTTTTCCTCTTCGGAATTTATCTTACAGGCATGGATCATATGGCCAGCATGAGGTGTGCCCAAGTGATATTAATTACAGTAGTGTTTGTAATGGCAATAAAACTAGGAATCACCTAAGTGTTTATTAAAAGGGGTCTGGTTAAGTTAATGATAGTACGTTCAGACAGTGTGATGCTCTAAGGGCATTAAAAAAAAACGAGGTACAGCTCTATGTGTTCATCTGGAGAGAACCTGAAGAGAATCTTAAGTGAAAAATTAAAGTAAGATGCAGAATTGTGTGCTACCATGGTGTAAAAAACATGACCCGTGTGTGAATGCTTGCATATGCCTAAAACATCTCAGGAAATCACTACATTCTTGCTTCTGGAAAGGGAATCGGGTGGCCACGGGATGGGGGTGGGAGGAGATTTTCCCATCCCTCCTGATGCATCCTCTGTATCCTTCCTGTGTGATCTTGGACAAGCCATGTGTCTTCTCTGAGCCTCAGTTTCCCCATTTGTAAAGGGAGGGTCATGACAAGGGAGACTGGAGTTCTTATTCTGGAGCTGGCACAGCAGATGGGCCGTTAATGAGAGGCCCTACCTCCCCCCAGTCTGGGTCTTCACAGAGAACTCACTCCAACTTTCTGCTTTATCTGACGATATAGAGACACATGCACCCCAATGTTCACAGCATCATTATTTCCAGTAATGCCAAGACATGGAAGCAACTTAAGTGCCCATTAACAGATGAATGGATAAAGAAGATGTGGTGTACATATACAGTGAACTATTACTCAGCCATAAAAAGGACTGAAATATGCCATTTTCAGGAACATGGATGGACCTAGAAATTATTATACGAAGTGAAGTAAGTCAGACAGAGAGAGACAAATATTATATGATTTCACTTATATGTGGAATCTAAACTATGACACAAATGAACTGATTTATGAGACAGAAACAGACTCACAGACGTGGAAAACAAACTTATGGTTACCAAAGGGGAAGCGGGGGGAAAGGGATAAATTGGGAGTATGGGATTAACAGATGCACACTACTATACATAAAATAGATAAACAACAAGGATTTACTGTATAGCACAGGGAACTATATTCAATATCTTGTAATAAACCATAATGGAAAAGAATTGAAAAAATATACATATATACATATATACATGTATAACTGAATCACTTTGCTGTACACCTGAAACTAACACAATATTGTAAATCAATTACACTTAAAAAAAAAAGAAGAGTCAGTAGCATTTGCAGCCACCAGTCTGCAGTGAGATGCACAAGGGGATTTTCCTAACTCCTTGGCAATCTCTGGCGGCTAAGAGGCAAGATAACCCAGTCCTTTCCCAGGCCTCTGCATTCCCAACCACACCCCCGTGCTTGGGTCCCCCTGTGGGTCTCCCCTTCAGGAGTCTCAAGAACCATGATCGTTCTCTCTCTACGGAGACCTCTGGTGAGTGGGGAGTGGGCTCCCGTGGGCTGTCACTCACCCAGCCTAATAAGTGACCTGTGTAGGAGCCCATCTAGGTTCTACATGGCAGGAGCTCCATCGCCTGGTCCCAAATCCTGCTCCTCTGCCAGTCTGTGACTTTGGGCAAGTCCCTTCATCTCTCTGTGCCTCAGTTTCCTCATCCATAAAATGGAAACAGTTCCTACTTCATAGGGCTGTTGTGAAGACATCCTAATTAGCCAATGTGACTAGATCTGCTCTGGCCACTAGGGTAGCCACTAGCCCCCCGCGTGGCAATTGAGCCCTTGAAATGTGGCTGGTCTCAACAGAAGTGTGCTAGCAATTGAAACTACACACTGCATTTTGAAGACTTAGTATGAAAAATAAAAGAATGTAAACTAAATCATTCCTAATTTTTATGTTGATCACATTCTAAAATGATAATATTTTGGATGTGTTGGATTAAAGCATGATTAATCTCCCCCGTTTCTTTTTCCTTTTTTTTAATGTGGTTACTAGAAAATGCAGAATTACACGTGAGGCTCGCATTATATTTCTGTTGGATGGCACTGGTTTAGAAAAACTTCGGGCAGCCTCACATTAGCTGCTACTCCAAGCAGCCCTCAGAGCCCATGTTTTGTCCCCACAGCTACTGATTGCTTTTCTCCACAGCTTTATCGAGGTATAATTGACAAATAAAGTTGTATACATTTAAGGTGCACAAAATGATGATTTGACATACATATACATTGTGAAATGATTGCCACGATCAAGCTAATTAACACATCCATCACCTCCTGTAGTTACCGTGTGGGTGTGTGGGTGGTGAGAACATTTAAGATCTACTCTCTTAGCGATTTTCAAGTAAACAATATTAACTGTAGTCACCATACCATATGTCGTTAAATCCCCAGAACTTGTTCATCTTATAACTAGAAGTTTGTCCCCTTTCACCAAAATCTCCTCATTTTGCTTGATTGTTATTTTGATTGTGTTTTGTTGGTTGTTGTTTTTGTTTCGTTTTGGTTTTGTTTGTTTCTTTGGGCCGCACAGCATGTGGGATCCTAGTTCCCTGACCAGGGATGGAACCCGCAACCCCTGCATTGGAAGCATGGCCTCTTAACCACTGGACCGCCGGGGAAGTCCTGGTTGGTTGGTTTTTCTTATTTTTTACTTTTATGTTTCTTTAAACTTTTTAGTTTATATTGGAGTACAGTTGATTAACAGTGTTGTGTTACTTTCAGGAGTACAACAAAGTGATTCATTTATACATATACATACATCTATTTTTTTAAAATTAATTATTTATGGCTGCGTTGAGTCTTCGTTGCTGCGTGCGGGCTTTCTCTAGTGGCAGTGAGCGGGGGGTGTGCAGGCTTCTCATTGCAGTGGCTTCTTTTGTTGTGGAGCACAGGCTCTAGGCACGCAGCTTCAGTAGTTGTGGCTCGCAGGCTCTAGAGTGCAGGCTCAGTAGTTGTGGCGCACGGGCTTAGTTGCTCCACGGCATGTGGGATCTTCCCGGACCAGGGCTCAAACCCATGTCCTCTGCATTGGCAGGCGGGTTCTTAACCACTGTGCCACCACGGAAGCCCCATCTATTCTTTTTCAGAGTCTATTCCCAATTAGATTATTACAGAATACTGAGCAGAGTTCCCTGGGCTAGGTTGATTGGTTTTTTAGAATACGAAATTTGGAGAGATCGCCAGCAGATACAGAATTCTGTGTGACTCTTGAATATCTCTCAAATCTGTTCACGTCTTCTGTTTCTACTGCTTGAGTCCAGGCTTCCTCTTCTCTTGCCTGCTCCCTGGTGTTCTTTTTTTTTTTTAATTTAATTAATTTATTTTATTTTTGGCTGCGTTGGGTCTTTGTTGCTTCACGCGGGCTTTCTCTAGTTGCGGCGATCAGGGGCTACTCTTCATTGTGGTACACGGGCTTCTCATTGCAGTGGCTTCTCTTGTTGCGGAGCACGGGCTCTGGGTGCACAGGCTTCAGTAGTTGTGGGTCGCGGGCTCTAGGGCGCAGGCTCAGTAGTTGTGGTGCACGGGCTTAGTTGCTCTGCGGCATGTGGGATCTTCCCAGACCAGGGTTCGAACCCGTGTCCCCTACATTGGCAGGCGGATCCTTAACGCTGCGCCACCAGGGAAGTCCCCATCAGAGGACTTCTGAGAAGTGGGAAGCTGTCTCTTCCGCTCTCTTCCCTTCATTTCTCTATGGGGGAGGGGGGGAACTTCCTTCTGATCCAAGACTTGACAGTTGTCATAATAATTCGTTCCTGAAGGCTGCAGGGAAGTGGCTGTGGTTTCTGTGGAAAGTCCCAGAGAAATTCTTATTTTCTTGTCTCCTGTAACCAGTTCAACCCAGATTTCTTTGCTGAGGCCACCGTCATCAACTTTTATTTTTACACTTTCCCAAACCTTTTTAATGAAAATTTTCAAACATAGAGAAAAGCTAAACTAATTTCACAGTGAACACTTGTGTACCCATCACCTAGATTTGACCATTCCCATTTTACTCTGCTGTTTGCTTTATCACACGTCCACCCGTCTTTCCATCTCTCTGTCTATCCATCACTCCCTCTGATTTTTCTGATGCATTTCAAAGTTGATGTCACCACTTCCCTCTCTACGCTATCGCAGGTGTAGCTCTGTGCCAGCCAGATTCCTATCGTGAATCAGAAACTTACCATCATTTAGAGGGTTTCCTTGCACCCCTTCTGGGTCCGTTTCTGGGTTTCAGAAAGGAGTAGGGGAGATAGGAGTAATGCAGTGGAAAGATGGGGGCTAGACCTTGAAGGCCCTCGTAGACCATGATGAGGAGTTTAGTAGTAAGATCACTACTATTGATGATGATGATGATATACTGGATATTTTTTTGTTTGCTCTTTCAGGTCCGCTCTCCACCTTTCCCTGTCATACTCTTAGGAATAGGATCCAACCTTGGGAGGCTGATCACTGTGGACTACCATGGGCTTTCTTGACCTCTAGTTTCCTGTGGGTTGGCCAGTGGGGACACTGACAAGAGATTGGAAGGAGGGGTGTTTATTTCCCCAACTCCCTCCCTGATACGGCGGTTGCCTCCTGCTGACTGTGTCTTTCCACCCAAGGCCACAGCTCCTGTCTGGAGGTCCACTCCACACACATCTCGGTTCTTTCAGGCCTGGGGGTAATCAAAGCTCCCATCTTTCTAGACCTGAAGTGCTGCATCACCCTTGTGGTTTCCCTGCTCACTGCTCCATCTTTGGAAATAGTCTTTTATTTTTTTTAATTGAAGTGTAGTTGATTCAGAATATTGTGTAGTTTCAGGTATACAGCAAAGTGATTCAGTTTTGCGTGTGTTTGTGTGTGTATGTGTATTTTAGATTCTTTTCCATTATAGGTTATTACAGTATATTGAATATAGTTCCCTGTGCTATGCCCTAAATCCCTATTGCTTATCTGCTTTATACATAGTAGTCTGTATCTGTTAATCCCATATTCCTAATTTATCCCTCTTCCCCCTCCCTTTCCCCTTTGGTAACCATAAGTTTGTTTTCTATGTCTGTGACTGTGTTTCTGTTTTGTAGATAGATTCATTTGTATTATTTTTTTAGATTCCACATATAAGTGATATCATGTAATATTTTCTTTCTCTGTCTTCACTTAGTATGATATTCTCTAGGCCCATTCATTTTGCTGCAAACGGCAATATTTCATTTTTTTGTGGCTAATAGTAAATAATCATTTTATTAAACTCTCCCCAGTCAATCAGTTTGGATTTGCTGTTTCCTGCTTAGACTCTGAGTGAGGCAGCAGCTAACTGTACTGAGAACATCCTAATCGACATTCTTCCAAGAGCTTTATAGGAAACAATGTATTTTTTTTAACATCTTTATTGGGGTATAATTGCTTTACAATGGTGTGTTAGTTTCTGCTTTATAACAAAGTGAATCAGTTATACATATACATATGTTCCCATATCTCTTCCCTCTTGCGTCTCCCTCCCTCCCCCCCTCCCTATCCCACCCCTCCAGGCGATCACAAAGCACCGCTGATATCCCTGTGCTATGCGGCTACTTCCCACTAGCTCTCTACCTTACGGGAAACAATGTATTTAATCCACCTGATGACCCTATGGAGAAACAGAGGTCTGGAGAGGTGGTCTCTAGCCCAGCGTTTCAGAACGAGGAAGTGGCTGAGCCAGGATTTGAACCAGCAGGAATCTGAACTGCTAAGAGTAACTAACTGGGAGCCACTGTGGGAGTTTTAAGCCAAGAAGTCAGGTTGGTGTTTCGAAAGCGCCCTCTGGTGGCTGGGAGGAGCACTGTCAGCTGAGTTAGCATCTACCCTGTCTCTGCAGAGAACTTCTATTTGGCTAATGTGTGGACAACATTCAACTAAATCCTGCACCGGAGACCCAGACAAATGGACTCTGCCTGGGTTCCAGGATGTCTTCTTGGAGGAGGTGACGTTGGAGCAGGTGACAAGTAGCAAAGGCCTGAGAGAATCCGCCTTGTTCTGGGAAGAGGGTGCAGCATTGTGTCCGGGAAAGCCCAGCGATGAGGCTGGGGAAATAGGTCAGGACTCATTTGGGAAAGTACCTTGGCTTTGGGACTTTGTCCTATAACTCACTTTGGAGCTTGCGAACCAGCAAATTTCAAAGACAAAATTAGAGGTCAGACATAGGGTGGTCAACTTTTTATTCTGCCAGTTTGGACTTAAAGAAAAAAGAGAGGGAGAGAGAGAGAGAGACCATTTTGTTAATTCTAAAAGCATTTATTGAGTACCTACTGTGTATTAAGGAATGTTCTGGGGCAGGGTCTGAGTTTGTTTTTCCCACTCTTGTACCCTCAGAGTCGAGAGTCACGGAAAGCCCCTAATAGAAGGAATGAGTAAAGTTAAAGGCATTTGCTAGGGTAAGGTCAGTGTGGGAATAAGCTGCTGGGAATGAGGTCAAGGCGTGCGAGGCTGTAGATGAGCTTGGAGATAGAAGGGAATAAATTTGGAGGTCTTCGGTCTTTAGGTTATTATCAGTTTTAAAACTAATTCATTTTATTTTTATGGTTATTTCCTGTATTCTGGGGATTTCATAAATAAAGATGAAAAAGATTTCCCTGGTGAGTCTCTTTCTGCTTAGTTGCAGCAGGGGCAACCATGCCATGGGGATTTTCCTCTTAGGGACTCCGGAACCGGGAGACACTGCATTTTGTGGGTGAAAACGCCAGCGGTAGAGTGAAAGCTGTCACTTGCTGAACACTCATCATGACCCAGGCGCTGTCCAGAGCTCTGTCCACATATTAACTCATTTAATTGTCATGACAGTAAAATGCAAAGTCCTTACTCTCATGATCCCGTCCCTGCCCCGCTCTCACACATTACCTCCTGCCACTCATATAACCTCCTGCCTCCTGCCTCCTGCTTCCTGCCTTTTTCACTCCAGCCTGCTTCCCATTCTTCCTACACACCAAGCTCATGTCCACCCCCAGCCCTTTGCACCGGCCATCCCCTCTGCTGGGAAAGCTCTCTCTCCATCTTTGGACGGCTTCCTCTCCTTCATTCTCATGTCGGCTGGAGCGTGACCACCTTATGAGAAACAGCATCTCTTCTTCCACACCCCCAGCCCTCCAGCCCTCTACTCTGCTTTACCCCTCTTCGTAGCAGTTCTCTCTTCTGACATCCTATTGTACATGTATCTGTTTTTTATGCAACTGTCCCACATGAATGTCAGCTCCATGAGGGCGGGAACTTTGTCTCACCGTCCTTTCCTCCTCACCCAGAGCAGTAGGAGCTCAATAAACATCAGGACCCTGAGTGATGGAAACAATCTGTCGAGGTAAAACTGCTATCATCCCATTTTACAGACGAGGAATCTAAGGCACAGGGAGGTTAAGTCACTCAGTTGACAAACGGCAGAGATGGGATTCAGATCCAAGCAGCCCAGCTTAAAGATTGGACCAGGGGCCTGCAGGTTTCCCATATCATTTAGCTTTTGCTATAATAATGCTGTGTAACAAACCACCCCGACTCTCAGTAGCATTTATTTAGCTCACGAAGTTTGTGGTGGGCAGTTTTAGGCTGGGCTTGGCTGGATGGTTTTCCTGGGCTCAGCTGTGCTTACCCACATGTCCGGGGATCTGGTGTTGGCTGATCTAGCCTGGTCTTGGCTGGGGTGGCTGGGAGACTTGGTTTTGCTCCACATGTCTGTCCTTTCCAAGAGGCTAGCCCAGGCTTGTTCTCATGGAAGCAAAAGTACAGGTAAAAACGTACCAGGCCCCTCCATTAAGACGTAGGCTGGAGATTGGCACTCTGTCATTTCCAACTCATTCTGCTGGTGAAAGCAAGTCACACAGCCAACCCAGAGTCATATAATTACAAAGTTACATGGTCAAGAGCATGGACACAGGAAGGGGTGAGGAACTGGGGCCAAAAGTACAATCTGCCATAGTTCCCATCAGCTGAAAGATCTTGGGCTCTGCTCCCCAGCAGGAGAGGTCAGAGGCCATTTGACAGAGGGTCCAAGGGAGCTCCCGTTTCATGCTTCTTTGAAGGAAACACTCAGGATCAGGGTGGACAGGGTTTGTGTGGGGGGAAGGGAACAACGTAGTAGAGAGTGGATGGGGGAAGAAGCTGTTGTGTCTGCATTTCTCGTTTGGGTGTGGCCATCTAGAGGAAGCTGGCTGGAAGCTTGGAAGCCGTCCACGTTATCTGGTTGAGGAGTGAGTGCTTTAGTTGATCATAGTCATGGCATTATCTGATTTGAGGTTTTTCACCTAAATGGATTAATTTAGATCTATCTATCAATCAATTATACATTGGCTATGTTTTTCTGAATTTTTGTCTTTGGCTCAGTGAAGCCTTGGTTTGTAAATAATGGTGCAGATGGGGGTTTCATGCATCCTAAGATCTTTTGAGTCATTTCAAAACCTTTCCTCCTAGTTCTTGTGTAAGCTTTGGGCTTTGCAAACCCGCCTTCCATGCTGCATGCCCTGCAGAAGCCACTTAATCATCACAACAGCTCTATATAGCCAGACTACGATTATTTCCATTTGACAAGCCAGGAAGACTTAGTGGTTTCCACAAGCCAGTTTCCCAGAACTTTTGCTGCTTGTAAAAATGATTGGACCCAGATGATTCTAGAACTTCCCTGGATACAAAAAGCGAGGCTGGCTACGCTGTCACCAGCAGAATAGAGACAGCTGTCCTGGCACAGGGGCATGAGGCAGGGATTCAGACACACTCTTCTTGCAGGAGGGGGGACCCCTTCCAGGGCTCTTGTCTAACACTCGGAAATGAACTGTCCAAGGAGACACATGTGTTGACAGAGCAAGAGACTTTACTGGGAAGGGGCGCCCGGGTGGAGAGCAGCAGGGGAAGGGAACCCAGGAGGACTGCTCTGCCACGTGGCTTGCAGTCCCATGTTTTATGGTGATGGGATTAGTTTCCGGGTTCTCTCTGGCCAATCACTCTGACTATAAGTCCTTCCTGGTGGAGCTCGCATCGCTCAACCAAGACGGATTCAAGTGAGGACTCTGGGAGGCTGGTAGGACATATGGACTGGAGTCTCCTCTCTCCTTTTGACCTTTCCTGAATTCTTCCGGTTGGTGGTAGCGAGTGAGTTCCGCATTCCTTACCAGGACCTCCTGTTTAAGAAACTCATGCAAATGGTTACTGTGGTGCCTGGCCAGGGTGAGCAGTTTCAGGCAGTGGTTCCCGTAACACTCCCATCTCTCCAGCACCACAGGATGTAGAATGGCAGGACTGGTCTCTCTGCAGCTGTCATTCTTACAGTAACTGTGGGTGTGTGTTTTTCCTGGTTCCTGGTCTGGAGTAACCTTCATATCCTCAGGGCTCATAGGCTTTGAGAAGCTCAAGTCCGTAAGAACAGTGATCCTTTTACAGCTCACCTGGCAAACCCAAGCTCAGTCTTCCACATTTGGTCCCTCATGGTGCATTTGGAGTGTTAATTAATTTCCCCGTGTTTTACCAATCAGAACTCAATTTTTTTTTCTTTTTTAAAACGTATTTATTTTTGGCTGCGATGGGTCTATGTTGCTGCCCTCAGGCTTTCTCTAGTTGTGGCAAGTGGGGTCTACTCTTTGTTGCGGTGCGCGGGCTTCTCATTGCGGTGGCTTCTCTTGTTGTGGAGCACAGGCTCTAGGCTGCGGGCTTCAGTAGTTGCGGCACATGGGCTCAGTAGTTGTGGTGCACGGGCTCTAGAGCACAGGCTCAGTAGTTGTGGCGCATGAGCTTAGTTGCTCTGCGGCATGTGGGTTCTTCCTGGACCAGGGCTCGAACCTGTGTCTCCTGCATTGGCAGGCGGATTCTTAACCACTGTGCCACCAGGGAAGCCCAGAACTCAGATTTTTTGGTTCTTGATCTCAGAGCACTGAGAGACACAGGTATGTCCCAGCCACTCAGAGATACTATTCTGGCCCAGAGCAAAGAACCTGGTCTAAGTGTTGGGCTTTTGCAACGCTGAAGATGCTCCCAGCTCTCCCCACTCTTATCACTGCATCCCTAAGGGCTTCTTCAGCACTGACCATCGCACCAGGAACAAATGTCCCATCACCCAGCGTGGAGCTGGAAGGACTTTATCAGCCCCACACTCTGTCACCCTCAGCCTGTGCCCATCAGCCTCCTGGGAAGGCTGCCCATTTGTTGGGGCAGCCCAATGATTAGAAAGTGCTTCCAGACAGGGCCCTGAGGCAGCTGGCCTCTTGCAGCTTGAGTCCTGAGGGTCCCACATTTCCCAGCTGCCTAGGGGCAAGCTTGGCACCCCCAGGCTATACCCTACTCCTGGCTTTCTGTGTCTCTCACAGTGGAGCCAGACTGCTGGGGTTCAAATTCTCGCTCTGCACTAATAAGCATGCTTTTAGCATCTTACTTAGACTTTTCTGTGCCTCAGTTTCCTCATCTGTAAAATGGGGCTAGTAAAAGCACTGACTTCACAGTGTTGTTGTGAGGAAGAGGTGAGTGGACCCATGTAAAGTGCTTCAAACCCTGCTGTGGTCGGAAGCCCTCCATAAATACTGACTGTTGATACTTTAACTATTCATAATGCATCATACTCTGCCAGGCACATTGATACTCACTCCTTCACACTGTGAAGGGGAAAGATTCAGGGCCCAAGGTGGCTGGGTGTGAAATGCTGAGTCTTTACTTATCCATTCTACTGTTTACAGGCATTTGGATTGCTTCCAAGTTTTGGCAACTACAAATATTGCTGCTAGGAACATTCTTGTAGAGGTCCTTTGGTGGACATACCTGTGCACTCCTGTTGAGTACCTAGGCTGGGCTGGAAGTGCAGGGTTAAAGGGTATGCATATGTTTCGCTAAATACTGAGAAACAATTTTCCACGGTACTTGGATATACTTACTGAATTCTGAGAATTCAGTATTTGAACCATGAGATTGTGTTTCCTGTTTGAATAAAGAAAATTCAGACGTACAACTGCAAACACCACCAAGTTGCCCAGACATTGCTTGAATTGAGTGTATCAGTTTCCAATTGCTGCTTGTAACAAATGACCGCAAACTTAGTGGCATAAAATAACACAGGCTTACTTACAGTTCTGGAGGTCAGAAATCTTAAATAGGTCTTACTGGGCTAAAATCAAAGGCCGTCTTCCTTAAAGAGGTTCTAGAAGAGAATCCACTCCTTGCCTTTTCCAGTTTCCAGAGGCTGCCTGTATTCCTTGGCTCCTGGCCCCGTCACTCTCATTTCTGCTTCTGTTGTCACATCTCCTTCTCTGACTCTGATCCTCCTGCCTCCCTCTTATAAGGACCTAGGTAGTCACACTGGACCTTTCCTGATAATCCAGGATAATCTTTCCATCTCAAGATCCTTAATTTAATCACACCTGCAAAATCCCTTTTGATGTGTAAGGTCACATAGTCACAGGTCCCAGGGATTAGGACATGACATTTTAGGGAGGGCATTATTCTGTCTCCCACACAGAGGCACACAAGTTTGGTACCTACAGAAAGATTCGTGAAACCCTCTGGGCCACAGATTTGGACCAGCACTGGCTGTGGTGGCTATGAGTGGGCCATCAGGTTCTGGAAGAGAACATAGAAACCAGAATGGCATCTCCAGTTTAGCCAAGCTCCCCATACCCAGTTGGTCTCTGAAGAAGTGGGATGCCAGGTCTTCTCTTATTGGTTACTGAGATTTCATCTCTTAATATTATTCAATTAATGACTTTGAGCTCTTCCTTTTTGCCAGGTAATGTTCTAAGAGCTTCATGAAGACTAACCCATTTCACACGAACAAAAACAACCACACCACAAGGTATGTAGTACTATTATTTCCACTGTATAAATGAGGATACTGGGGCACAGAGAAGTTAAGAAACATTCCCAAGGTCACACAGCTAGGAAATGACAGAGCTGGGATTCAAAGCCTAGCTTTGAAAGGGCTACAGTCCTCTGTAGTGAGGCCGGCATCATTATACAGCATTCCCACCCTAGGCCCATGCTCTCCTTTCCTGGAGCACACGACCCTCCACCACCAGTGATATTTCTAAGTGGGCAATGTCATCTTCAGCTGGTTTTCCCTCCCAGAGACTTGGTCAGAGGCTTGAGGGAGGAGAGAGAGCCACCTTGTGGTGAGAGTGGGAATCTAAGAACCTGGGCCCAGTTCTCCATGTGTGTACTCCACCTGACCAGTCCTGCATTCTGGCATTTCGTGTCTTGAAAGTACCAGCATACTAGTCATTTATTCTATTCTATTTATTTAAAATTTAAAAAATTTAAACTTTTTATTGCAGTATAACTTAGAGTACAAAGTGTTCAGCTTGATGCATTTATATTTGTATACATATGTGTTCATTCATGTCACCGCCACCTAGGTCCAGATATAGAACATTCTAATCATTCCAGAAGGTTTCCTTGTGCCCTCTTCCAGTCAGTACCACCCAGGGGTGACCACTTTCTGATTTCTCTCACCGTGAGTTGATACTTACATAAAAGGAATCATTCAATGATGTACTCTTTTGTCTTCTTTCACTCAACATTGTGTTGTGAGATTCAGTCATGTTGTTGCACGTAGCAGTATTGTTATTTTTTTAATTGCTGTGAAGGGAATTCCCTGGTGGTGGTTAGGACTCGGCGCTTTCAGTGCTGTGGCCCGGGTTCAATCCCTGGTCGGGGGAACTAAGATCCCGTGAGCGGCACGGTACAGCCAAAAAAAATATATTGCTGTGAAGCATTTCATCTTATGAACGTACCACACTTATTTACCCAAGTCTATTGTTGATGGACATGTGGGTTTTTTCCAGTTTTTAGCTGTTATGAATAGAGCATCCTTGTCTATGGAGATATGCACTCATTTTTCTTGGGTATATACCCAGATGTGGAATTAACGAGGTCATAGGGCAAACATATGTTAGTCTCAGTAGGTACGGCCAAACATGTTTTTTCAAAGTGGGTACTGGTATTTTTCAACTCCACCATATAATTTTTTTTTTTTTTTTTTTTTTTGCTGAGCCACGCGGCATGCAGGATCTTGGTTTCCTGGACCAGGGATAGAACCAGTGCCCCCTGCAGTGGAAGTGCTGAGTCTTAACCCCTGGACCGCCAGGGAAGTCTCCTATTATTTCTATCTTTTAAAATGAGTCAGGAATCTGAGTCATTTGTCTTGAGACATGCTGAGAAAATCAAAACACTGCATTCAAAGTTTGTCTTGAACAAAGTTTGCTCGTTTCTGACTAGTTCCTTCCCTTGTTTGGAAAGCTGCCAAGGTAATTTATTGGTGTTTTAGTTTGCATTTCCTGGGTTCCCAGGGAGGGAAATTGAGCATCTTTTCCAATCTGCTGGCACACTAGATCATTTATGGGTAATGCCATTGTCTGAAGATCTGGGTCCACCACTGGGGGGCACCACCCCAGAGGCACCCTTCACAGTGTTCTGCTCCACGTTGCATCATTTCCATGCACCGCTGTAGACTGCAGTGCTAAGGCCCTGCCTCTCTTCCGCTAGGATATTTTTTAAAAATTCACACTTGCTTTCCCAAGTATCCCATCTGGATTTAGCACCTAAATTTGAACACTGGAGGAATCGTGAAGTGGCCGAGGACACCGTAGGGAAGACAATAGTGACCAAAGTCATTGGATAAATATTTACTGAGCACCTATTCTGTTCCAGGCACTGTTCCAGTCACTGGGGCTACAACAGGGACAGAATAGACAGAAATCCCTGCTCATATGGGACTTGTTTTCTAAGGAGGGAGACACTAAATACTGTAAAGTTTGACATATGATGGTGATGAGTGCAAAGGAGAGAAAACAGGTGGGGAAGAGGGAGTGCCTGGGTTGGGGAAGACGGTTGCAGTTTTATATAGGGTGGTCAGCGAAGGTCTCCTTGAGAAGGGGACATTTGTGTGAAGACCTGAAGGAGGCACCAGAAGGAACAGCAAGTGCAAAGGTCCTGAGGTAGGAGCATGCCTGGTGCCTTAGCAGAACAGGAAGGTCAATGAGGCTGGAGTAGACGGGGTAGAGGGGCCCAAGGCATGTGTCTTAGGGGAAGGGGTCAGAGAGAAAGGGGTTGGTATAGAGAGTGTAGGACCTTGTAGGCCGTTGTAAGAACTTTGACCTTGACTCTTAGCCTTTTTTTTTTTGGCCTCACTGCGCAGCTTGGGGGATCTTAGAACCCAGGCTCCAGCAGTGAATGTGCCAAGTCCTCACCCCTGGACCACCAGGGCATTCTCTAGACTTATTTTTGAAAAGGATCTCTCTGGCTGCTGTGTTGAGAATAGAAGGGGATTGGGGAAGAGCAAAGGTTGAAGCATAGAGACCATTGCAATAACCAAGGCGGGAAAATGTGGTGGCTTGGACCAGGGAAGTAGCAGTGGAGGTCATGAGAAATGGTCAGATTCTAGAGGAAATTTGAAGGTTCGATATGCTAATAGGGTAGGAGAGGAAGATCCAGCATAGCTCCAATGGTGTGGTTTGAGTAGCACACTTAAAAAAACTCTTGCGGGGCTTCCCTGGTGGCACAGTGGTTGGGAGTCCGCCTGCCGATGCAGGGGACGCGGGTTCGTGCCCCGGTCCGGTAGGATCCCACGTGCCGTAGAGCGGCTGGGCCCGTGAGCCATGGCCGCTGAGCCTGCGCGTCCGGAGCCTATGCTCCACAACGGGAGGGGCCACGACAGTGAGAGGCCCGCGTACCGCAGAAAACCCCAAAAAAACAAAAAAACTCTTGGGGACTTACCTGGTGGCACAGGGAACAATCCACCTGGTTGAGAATCCACTAGCCAATGCGGGGGACATGTGTTCAAGCCCTGGCCCAAGAAGATCCCACATGCCGCGGAGCAACTAAGCCCGTGTGCCACAACTACTGAGCCCGTGCACCTAGAGCCCGTGCTCCGCAGCAAGAGAAGCCACTGCCATGAGAAACTCGTGCACCACGACGAAGAGCAGCCCCCGCTCACCGCAACTAGAGAAAGCCTGTGCGCAGCAACAAAGACCCAACGCAGCCAAAAATAAATAAATAAAATAAATAAATTTATTTTAAAAAAAAAGTAATTCTCAACTTAAAAAAGAAACTTTTATTTTGGACGATTTCAAACATATACATAAGTAGACAAAAATAGTATAGGAAACCCTATGTAGCTACCAATGAGCTTCAATGATTTTCAACTTATGGTCGATGTTATTTCTTCTATGCCCCCACCTCTCTCCATCCCATATTACATTGAAGCAAATCTCAGACTTTGTTTCATGAAATTTGTAAGTCCTTCAGTATATTTCTTCAAAAATATGTCCCCCCCTTTTTTTGTTTTTTTAAAATGAAGTATAGTTGATTTACAATGTGTTAATTTCTGCTGTACAGCAAAGTGATTCAGTTATATATATATATGTATATATATATATATGCATGTTATTTTTTATATTCTTTTACATTGTGGTTTATCACAGGATATTGAATCTAGTTCCCTGTGCTATACAGTAGGACCTTGTTGTTTATCCATCCTGTATATAATAGTTTGCATCTGCTAATCCCAAACTCCTAATCCATCCCTTCCCAAACCCCCTCCCCCTTAGCAGCTACACGTCTGTTCTCTGTGTCTGTGAGTCTGTTTCTGTTTCACAGATAGGTTCATTTGTGTCACATTTTAGATTCCACATGTAAGTGACATCACATGATATTTGTATTTCTCTTTCTGACTTACTTCACTTAGTATGATGATCTCTAGGTCCATCTATGTTGCTGTAAATGACATTATTTCATTCTTTTTTATGGCTAATACTCCATTGTGTATATATACACCACATCTTCTTTATCCATTCATCTGTCAATGGACAGTTAGGTTTCTTCCATGTCTTGGCTGTTGTAAATAGTGCTGCTATGAATTTTGGGGTGCATGTATCTTTTTGAATTACAGTTTTGTCCAGATATGTTAAGCCCCCCCCTTTTAAATAAACATGCCAGAAAAATATTATTATACCTGTTAACAATTGGCTCTCACAAAGACCACAGAATGTCAGTAGTGCCACAAAGGGGAAAATTAAGTAAGGCTACTTGAGATGGATTTTTCTTTTTTTTTGCAGTACGCGGGCCTCTCACTGTTGTGGCCTCTCCCATTGCGGAGCACAGGCTCAACGGCCATGGCTCATGGGCCCAGCTGCTCTGCGGCATGTGGGATCTTCCCGGACCGGGGCACGAACCCATGTCCCCTGCATCGGCAGGCGGACTCTCAACCACTGCGCCACCAAGGAAGCCCGAGATGGATTTTTCAAAGCAAGGAACTGGATAAGATTAAGCAACGATTATGGCACAATAATGTAGGGTTGGTGAACACAACGAAACGATAGTCTTCAAACAAGCCTTGATAAGCAAACTGTAGTGTAATAAGTGAGTTCTTTGCCTACGTGAGCAATCTGTAATCCTGAAAGGGGAGCTGTTTGCCCAGGTGAATAAACTGTTTGCTTAGATAAATTGGTTCGCATGCATTTCCGGGGGTAACTAATGAATTATTTATTTTTTTTCAGACTTATCCTTCTAGGCAAGACTTTCTTGGAACAAACCATTAAGTCATGTTGAAATGCATGGTTTCAGTTCTCATGTCTAATAGAATTTAAAATACCTCGTATGGTTAAATAGCCAATCAATGAATAGATTTCCTTACCTGTCTCATAAAAATATCTTTTCTTGTCTTTTCAAGTCAGGATCCAAGTGAGGTTTACACATTGCACTTGATTTTGTGTGTTTAAGTCTCTTTTAAGCTGTAGCTTCCTTCCTGTCTCTTTTTATTCCACTAAAATGAACTTTTGACAAAGCTAGGTCACTGTC